CCCCCCCCCCCCTGCGCCTTCGCGCACAACGCCCGGCGGCCGGGGCGTGCCGGAGATCTCCCGTCAGATCGCTCGGCCCCGCCCCCTCCGCCAGGGTCCCCTCGTCCGTCCGGCTCCGGGTGCTCTCCTGGGCTGTGTCTCGCAGGATGGGGAGCGCGGGGGACCGGGGCTTTTGATGGACCAGCGCCCTCGATCTGGCCGCCTCTCCGGCCGCCACGATCCCTCTCCTGCCCGCCCCAGCCGTTTGCCACCCGCCCTCTCGCCCTTCCCTCTCTCCCCCCCCCCCTCTCCCCTCCTTCCAGGCACCTCAGGCTCAACCGCCTGCTCGCCCGCCCGCCCGGCGCCCGCCCGCCCGGCATGTCCCACACCGCCGGGGACGCGCCCATCTCGGCCGTGGTGGACCGAATCCGCCAGCACCTGCTGAATGTACAGCTGCAGTATGCCCCGCCGGCGGTGCCGGTGGCCCCCGGGCCGGTGCCCTTCGATGATGCGCCGGACCTGCTGCAGCAGCGACCGCCCCCGGGGCCGGGGGCCGGGGCCGCGTGGCCCGAAGCACACGGCGCCCCCCGGCCGGCGGCCACCGGCACCACCGGCACCACCGCCGACGACCCCGATGGACACTGGGCCGCGGTGGCCCGCTTCGACGAGCAACAGCGCCGGCAGGACCTCTTGAAGGCCCGACTGGCTGCGGCCTCGGCCGGCGCGGCCGCGGCCGGCGCGGCCCCGGCACCCACAGTGCCCGAAGCCCGGACGCCCTCGCCCCAGAGCACCCACCTGCAGGCCCAGCAGCAGTGGCAGCAGCGCCAGCAGGCGGCCGGCCTGTGGCCCCCGACCCCGGGGCTCTTCAGCCGGAGCTCCGGCACCACGTTCGACACGCACGCGACGTCCCTGTCGCCGGGGGCGCCATCGTCGCCCGGGCTCGCCGGCGACCCGTGGTCTCGGTGGCCGGCGGCCGACCCCCCTCGCCGGGCTGCCGCCGCCGCCGCGGCAGATGCGCGGAGCCACTGGCCGCCGGGGTCTGGCCCCACTGCCGGGGCCACGGCTGCCCCGGCCGCCGGCGACCCGTGGTCCCAGTGGCCGCTGGCCGGGCCGGCGACACCGGCCCCGGGGCCCATGCCCCCGGCCGAGGCCATGCTCCTGCAGGGGATCCATCTTGACCCTCGGCCGGGGTTCAGCACCCGCATGGAGGTGCGCACCCGGGCCATTGCCCTGCCACCGGTGGCGCCTCGCCCGTGGCCCTGTTCCGGCTGTTTGTGCTGACCGTGGGCCATGTGCCCGTCCGTCCGCAGGATTATCACATCGGGCCCCAGCTGGGCGCCGGGACATTTGCCACGGTCTACCGGGCCACCATGCGCACTGGGCAGGTGGTCGCCCTCAAGGCGGTTCGTGTGCCGCCAGGCTTCTTGGCCGATTGCTCCGGCCTTTCTTTCTTTTGTTTCTCTCCACCTTCCCTTCATTTCCCCCTTCCTCCTCCTCCCCTCTGCCTCTCCTGTCTGATCCTCGATCTCCCTGCTCTCCATGCCCCATCTCCCCGGCCGGGGCTCGGGGGCTTTGCCGGCCTTCCCTCCCCTGCTCGACCCCGCTCCCGGGACCCCGATCCGAACCGCTCGGCCGGGCAGATCAACAAACACCACATGATCGAGAACTTCGGCCTCAAGGTGGCCATTCGCCGGGTCCAGGGCGAAGTGCTGATCCACTCGTCCCTCCGGGCGTCGCCCTACATCGTGCAGGTATGGGCCCATGTGGGCGTGCTCTTTTTGCCTTTCCTTCTTTTCTTTTTTTTTTTTTTCTGCCCGCCCCACCGAGCCCGGTGCCGGGGGCTGACACGCGGTCGCAGCTCCTGGCCGCCTTCGAAACCCGCCACGAGGTGATCCTGGTGATGGAGCTCTGCCAGGGCGGCACATTGCTGGAGTACTTCCGGACGCGGACGCGCATCCTGCGCGACGCCGGCTCCAGCCAGGCTGGCGGCCTGCCGGAGCGCGAGGTCCGGGGGATTTTCTCCCAGGTGCGTCGGCCGCCGCTCGGGCTGTCCCTCCGGCGGGTGTCTCTATTGGCTGGGCACTGACGTGTGGGGTACCAATGAAACCCCCCCCCCCCC